GTGCTTTGTTTTCTTATAGAAGCAAAATGCAAAAAGTGGCCATGAAGTATAACCTAGGAACATATGTCGGGAAATGCATGTTGCTGAGAAGTTGAGAATGTTGAAAAAGCTGTTCTTTGTGCCTCATGAGCTACCTACCAATGGCTTGGAGATATAAGTGGGACACACGGCTCTGTCTGAGTTAGATCTAATGAGAGTGGACATACCATGTGGGATAGGACCAGTTCATAAAAGATGAACGTGGTGATAAATGTGGCAGTTGTTTCAGTTCAAAAAGAGGATATGTATTTCTGATCTCCAATTTTTTTCTGTTAGAACTCGGACGACCAAATGGCACTTTCCTTATTAAAAAATCTTTCTAAGAATACCCTTTTGTCTATTTACTATATTTCCCAAAAAGAGCTCTCTTTTAGACAAAAAAATTTCTCAAAAAGACTACGGGCAATTTGAAGGGTTAATTTCTTTACTGACTGCAATTTTGTGGACCCTATATGAATCAATTACTGACTCCCTCTGTTTTGTTTCTTGTTCTGTTTACATCCTCATCTTATCCTCTTGGTTATTCTTTTCCTCCTCTTCAACAGAGATTAGACCAACTATACATATGCATACAATGAAGCAAATGCATAGAGTATGTGAATTTGACTCAGACTAAAAGAATCATTGGAGTCACTTGGTATCATCTTTTATCATGTCATGATTCAGATTATGGTAAAAAAGTCCAGATGACTGCCATTATTGATGATAGCTAGACACTAAATCTATGAACATGTGGGCATAGAAATGGAAAGCAGTTGATAAGCCTTCCTCTGTTTTGTTCTGTTTTCTTTACTCTCGTAGCCTCGTCATTGGTTTTCTCGTCCTCTGTTCCCTCGTATCATAGATTAAAACGAGTTGTATGCATACAAATAAGGAGACTTGAAAATAGCGACTTTTTAGTTTTACCATCATTTTTGGGGCCCGAAAGAGCAAACAAAGTAGAGTACATTTAAATATGATTGATAATTAAATAGAGTCCAAATCAATTTATTACCATTTTATTTAAGTAGAGGAGAAACAAACTGACCTTGCTAGGAATTCTTCGGCCACGGAACACTGGGCTCTCTGGGTCAGATCCATTGTAAGATGGGTCTGAGTGAACATAGATTGAGTAATACCCTTCATGTCCTTTGAAGAACAAGTCCCACAAAGGAGCCAAACGCACAGGACCTTTCGTCAAGAACAAGAAGGCCACCTTAGCAACACGCTGGAAAGGGTACTCGGAGATCCTAGGAGACATCGAAGCTCTCCACAGAAGCTCCTTCTCGTCCATGTCGTGCATGACCACAGGAGGCTTAAGGTACTCCTTCATGTAACTACTGTTAGACTTAGAGGCAGGAACATCAGGCATCTCTGGTTTGGGTCTTTCAGATATTGGGTGGGGGTCTGAATATTCTTGGTGATGACAATGAAGAGATCGAGAACTTGGTGAATTCGACACTAAAGTTGCAGTTCTGAAGGTAGAAGCTGATGATGATCCCTAGAGTTATCCCACAACCCAGAAGGATCAAGTTGGGAATAAGACGAACCAGGTGGCTTTGAACATTCAAAGGCTTTGGAACTGAGTTCGTTGGGTACTGATAGTTTTGGTTCTTCATTCTTTCTGGTTTATCTAGCAGAGGCTTCTAAAGATTATCTTATATACTCAAAGCCATAATAGATGAAAACAGAACCAATCTGTGAAACAAGGATTACCAACAGCTCAAACTGATATGATAGCAGATTCTTCAGAAAGATCAGACTTTAGCCAACACAGAACTGTGACATGTGTGTTTGTATTTTGGATACAAGAACACACAAACGCAAATAGTTAGGGAGGGATGTGAATATGCGTGTGTATTGCAACGCGCATTGGCTTATATATACATTCGTGATGAAATGAAGTTAGATTGTTGTTGTTGTTTTTGCCGAAACTTCAAAGAAAACGCATTGATTTGTTGTTGTTGTCGTCGTTGTGTTCCGGTGCCGTCTTGCTACCGGGGGTCCTGGTTGGAGGAATATCCAAACGACGTTGACGTTTTCTGTGGAGTTTTCAACCGTTGAAATTTATGTAACGACGACGACGAAATTACGAGAAGCCGCCAGCCTTCCACCTTCTTCGTCTTCTTAAAGACGTGTTTGGTTACTCCTTTTTCGTGCTCCTTCGTTTCAAGAATTCAATTCCTGGAGACAACTGGCATGTGCTAGAAAAATCCATGCAGATGGAAGCACCCTGAAGAAGACTTTTTCGTCACAGGGTTCATTAATTTTCTACCAATAATCAAGAATAATAACATGTGGAAAATGATGTGAGTGATGGAATTGGTAGGTTCGGCTCAAGTAATTGACAATTGATGTTGAGAAATCTAAAACTGGAAATATTTATTTAATATTTAAAAAATTTTAACTTGTTTTAAAGGCCTTATAAAGATGATATTAATGTAGAGTCATTTTTCTAAATACTAATAAGCTGAAATGTAACAGCAAATTGTATGAGCAATAGCAGAGAAAGATATGTATTTATAATGTAAAGTTTCATATTTAGTTATTTGTTTTAATAAGAAAAGGTAATGTTATTGTACTCACACTTCCAGTTTAAAATTGTGTAAACAGTTAAAAAATTAATTTACATAATGAAGTATTTGTGTCTTAGATAGTTCTTACTCTCAAGTTTATTTTTCTAATGTTTAGTTTCAAGAAAATATGTAATTAGGTTATAGAAGGTGTCTTCATGCATGAAAAAATTAAACCAAAATATATGATATTTTTTTGCTTTAAATAATGATTGTGTATATATTAAAATCATAAGAGAATTTATAGAAAATTTTAATTGCAACCAAATACATTTTTTATTTCTATTTTATATATTTGAAAACAAATTTTATTCTTTTTAAAATTATAAATATTTACTAACTCAACTAGCATAAGAATTTTGTAACCTTTTTTTCCCTCTATAGTCTTAATCAATTATTAATGAATGATTAATAGCAAGAAGGGTCAACATTTGGGCCAACGAGAAGAAAACGAATGGCAGGGTCACACCAATAAGACAAAAGAAAAGGCTAAATCACAAGTTTGTTTGGTAATTAAAAAAAATGAGCTTAGCTTTTGTCGCTTAAATATTCTTAAATAGGAAAGTTCAGCTATTGGGTCGATTTCACTACACACGACAGTTATGAGGACTTACTTATAAAAATGTTTAAAAAAA